TCAGTGAGTGCGTTTATATGCACTTAATAATCCGACAACTTCAGAAAATCCGATTTTGTCAGTAATCCAATCAACGCGTTTACATGCACTGGAGTAATCAGATAATGGGGAAACTCACAGAGGAAGACGTGACGTAAAAGTACTGGAAATCTCAAACTTCATGCCGTGACTTTTTTTTTTTTAACATGGCGGCACTTTACCAGAAAATATGAACATACATCATCTGGAAAAATTAAAAATATTTAAGTTCTTTATTTCGCCAAGCATGTATTTGGTTTCAGCGTTGCTCCAAAAGTGTTTTGCTGCATCTCGCCGCAACACTGCTCGCTTATTTCCCGTCTGTTTTCGCACATGTGCAGACTGGGAAATGCGAAAGAAATCAGAGTAAGAGTTCACAGGCACTGAGAAATCTGATTACTGAGCTAAAATCCAGCTCTCTTCATCAGATTTCTTAATCGGATTTCTAGATCGGAGTATGGTATTTACATGATAATTTGAATAATCATAACTGCAAAAATCTGATTATGATCAGACTGAGTGCATGTAAACACACTCACTGTTTCATGTAGTATGCAACCTCTGTTTAAGTTTCAAACAAACCAGTTCATATAGTCCATACACGAAAACTAAGCTTCGAAAATAGCCTATTTTAAATGAACTGTTTTTGTGATGCAGGAAAACCACAATATATACTTACATATCCACTCATTCAACAGTAGTTTAGCTCCGCCCATTCATACTGAAGATCTGAACAAAGTCATTTTACATCATTTATATCAGTCTAAAAAGGTACAAATCAAATCCAAACTGCCTCTGGAAGCAACATCAGCATGGGTTACCATGGCTGAGTAGCTGTACACAAGCCCAAGATCACTATGTGCAATGCCAGGTGTCGGCTGGAGTGGTGTAAAGCACGCCACCACTGGACTCTGGAGCAGTGGAAACGTTCTCTGATGAATAACGCTTCCCTATCTGGCAGTTTAATGGACGAATCTGGGTTTGGCAGATTCCAGGAGGACGCTACCTAGCAACAGTAAAGTTTGGTGGAGGAGGGATAATTAGCCTTAGTTCCAGTGAAGGGTGATGTTAATGTTACAGCATACAAAGACATGTTAGACAATTATATGCTTCCAACTTTGTGGCGACAGTTTGGTGAAGACCCTTTCCTGTTCCAGCATGACTGAGTCCCTGTGCACAAAGCGAGATCCATAAAGACATGGCTTGACGAGTTTGGTGTGGAGGAACTCCAGTGGTCTGCACAGAGCCCTGACCTCAACCCCACTGAACACATCTGGGATGAACTGGAACGTTGATTGTGTGCCAGGCCTTCTCGTCCAACATCAGTGCCTGACCTCACAAATGCTCTTTTGACTGAATGGACATGACTCTTTTGGAAAGCCATTCTAGAAGAGTGGAGGCTGTTATAGCCACAAATGGGGGCAACTCCATATTAATGCCCACTGTTTTGGAATGGGATGCCCACCAAACTCATAAGTGAGATGGTCAGGTGTCCACATAGTGTATCGTGGACAGGGAAGGAGTAATAAGGCTTCTTTGCATGTCTATCAATATAAATCAACAGTACCTATGTACGCAACTAAAGAACACAGACAACAACACTAAAACACAGATTAAAGGGAAGCGGAGATTCAATGTGAGATCACTTCGGTTTGATTAATGATGCCTGGGAGCAGCTGAGCCCAATGGGACCTCTAGAACAATGCACTCAGGCCATGGCAATCGTTCACAGCTATCTATCGCTAGCAAGCAAGCTAACTGATTAATTACTCCACTCGAAATGAGCTTCTCTCAGGTGAAAAGCAAAGATCTGACTTGGCGTAAGCCGATTTGGAGGGCGAGGCTGAGAGAAAGAGAGAGGGATGAACGAAAAGCAAAGGGATAAATGGGTGTGTGACTAGCATTTTAGCATTTGGAGCCCTCAAAAGTGCCTTATAATATCACAGAGCCACATCAAGGACTTCATTAACCCAAGGCGAGCCTTCGAAAACATCCAGAAACATGGCTAAACACAAGACCGGTAAACAAGTTCTACGCGATGAGATCTAAATATGGATGCAGGAATTTAAAAAAAGCCGCCAGGAAGCTAGCAAAACACGCTCGGAGAACAAAGACGCAGCGAGCTGAAAACCTATGATTAGGCCTCATATAGGCACTCAAATATGCGTGTCTGACTGATGTAATTGCTGCCAGATGAATGAATGACGGCAAAAGAGGGAGAATGATGGACTCCCAGTCTTCACCTCGTCTTAGCACTAATGAAAAACGTGTTTTTGCGTGCGTTATTGACCATAACGTTTCGAAAACAAGTCCAGATTCGCCTGAGAATGCAAACCACCTCACAACTCTCGGACAAGTAAAAGGCCACGCACATGTCTGTTTCTCCATTCTGCTCCTTTTCACTTAGCTAATAAGCGCTCACCGAGAAGCTAACATCTGCTCGAACACAGCAACAGAACGAGGCACGTCATTAAGATGCCTGGCGGTTTTTCCCTGTCAGTCTCAGTTCAGTTTTCAGTGAATGTCATCTTCTTCGCCTCAACATGCTGCTTTCATTACAGTGCTGGAATACAAATTCCCCTGTTAGCAGTAGATGCTAAAAAAAAAGGATCATTTACTTGAAGTTATTTCTGATA